AGCGGCCGCCGGAGCAAGTTGGGCTAACTTGCGGCCCCCTTCAACTTCTTAGACGGCGCCAATGAAAAAATTAACGAAAAAAAATTGAATGTTGAGTTTTTGGTTGCTTCCTCAGATCTAGGATGCGATCTTCTAAACTACAGCCTCTTATCCAGGTTCCAGGTAACAGGGCGTGTTAAGGTTGTACAGGGGGGGGGTCTAACCCGTTAACCCAACTTGCGGGCAGCAAGGGAGCGTCTGGGGGGCGCCCTCCCCACAAAATTTTTTGAATTAGACCCTTTTAGATGCGTCTTTTTCGTGGGCGCGGGAGCACGGGCGAGTCGGACCCCTGCGGACCCCCCTGTACACGCCCCTGGTAATCAACTTTGTCAATAAAGGGATGAAACATTTATTTCAGAGATAGTTTCATTTAGTTGCGCAAAATTTGTTTTTTTTTCCTTTGGCGTTTTTTGCGGTTTTTTTACCCTTTGCCTTTTTTGCGCCCCCTGACTGGCGCGGGCCACGTGCCCCCTTGGCCCCTCCCCCTAGTTACTTGCACTGCCTCTAATATACTCTTACATGACTCATCTTATTTTTCCTCGCCCCCGAAAGTGGAGGCGAGGTTATGTGACTCGGGTCTAGTGGTTCGTGTACACAGTTAGCATGTGTGTGCGGTGTGCAGCCCTCGACCTAACGGGTGTTCCGATTGCCCGGGAACAAGTGCGAAAAGTTCTATGTCTGGGACAAGTTATTATCTTGCTAAGTTGCCCGATCGGGACAACTTTGAAAGTTCTAAGTTTTGTTTATATTCTTAAACATACCTCTGACGCCAGGTCGCTATCGCCACACATTGCTCCTTCAAACGTTTTTCAAAGGTCCCTGAAAAAGCAGCCCGAGACACCACTAGTTTAACCATTACAGATTTATCAGAGCGCGCAGCGGCAGTACCTCCCTTGGCTGGTGGCGGCATGATTTTATGTACTGCGGTAGGGGTACGATTGTTTATAAAAGTCGGTGGGGAATATTCATTACTTGAATATGTATTGGTGGGCGATAGCTGCGGTATGAGAGGGATAACAGCAAAACTCTTGTTCCTGTGATTGAGGAAAAGCTGCTATCGGTTAATGACACCCATTGACGCGTGCTAGCATGAAACATAAACGTGTGAATTTCATTACGATTTTACATGCTACTGTATTTACTCGTGTATAAGTTAATCATGTTATTATAAAGTCTCACCCATATTTTTCTGCATTTTTGAAAATTTCGGTACTCCAAACATTGGTACCTTTAACAAGATTCTATAGCTTCGTCTATTTAGTCACCACCCCCTGATTTTTTTTATTGAAGTTGTGTACAAAAAGCGCCGGGTTGTGTACACAATGTAAATACGGTATCTATATTTACTGTAACTGTGTAATACACACGCACGCACGCATCGCAAACGCCGCGTGCGACACATGCCTAGGTATGGTGCGAGCCTATATGCACGCAGGGATATCGCAAAAAATGTCAGGAGTGTATATAATATTATATATATACCTATAGTTATATACATCCTATCTATTATGTTAATATATGTATATATATCCTATTTATAATATCCTATTTATATATATAGATCTCTACTATTATTACACTCCTGATAATATGATATGCACTTGAACCAAAGAGGACATTAACCGGCTCTAGATTGCACAAGTAAATTTTGGACAATGTAAAATCAAAATTTCGGACAAGTTAAAATTGTTCTTGGTTGCCTGACAGGGGACAAACCAAATCTGAAATGCGCGAGCCCTGGCGTGCGCCGTCGTGTGGTGCGTGTTGGTGTGTGTGCTGTGTGTGTGTCAGTGTGTGTGTGTGTCTGTGGTGGTGCTGGTGTGTGTGTGTGTGTGCGTGTGTGTGTGTCGTGTGTGCTGTGGTGTGTGTGTGTGTGTGTGTGTGTCTTGTGGTTGTGTGTGTGTGGCTGGTGCGGCTGGTGTGTCCTGTGATGTGTGGTGCGTTTGTGATTGTCGGTGTGTGTTGTGTGGTTTGTGTGTGTCGATGTGTGGTGTGTCGTGTTGTGTGGTAGTGGTGTGGTGTGTGTGTGTAGTGTGTCGTGTGGTCGATGTGTGTGGTGTGTTGTGTGTGTCGGTGTGTGTGTGTGTGTGTGTGTGTGTGTTGTGTGTGTGTGTGTGGTGTGTGGTGTGTGTGAAGGTGTGTGCGTGGTGTGATGGTGTGTGGTGTGGTGTGTGTTGTGTGTGCTTGTGTTCTTCCCTTGCGCAGCCCGGCCCGGCCCTCTGCGCAGCGGCGTGTCGTAGTGTGTTGTGTAGTTGGTGATGTGGTGTGCTGTGTGTGTGTGCTGGTCCAGCAATGGTGGTGTGGTGTGTGTGTGTGTGTGTGTGTGTGTTGTGTGTGTGGGTGTGTGGCTGTTGTTGTGTGGCTGTGTTTGGTGTGTGTGTGGACGCGATCGATTATTCAGCGGCCGGTTCCTCGCCGCGATCGTCAGCGAGCGAGCCAGCCACACGCTGCTGCTGACCTGAGCACGCGACGCGAGCATACATTGGGTGTGGCGTTATTATCGTGGCCGTTATTGTTGTGGTTGTGGAGTCGGGTTATGGCGTATGGGTATGTCGGCTGGCCGGAGTATTGCTTTCCTGCCGTGGCAGTGCCCTCTGTTCTAGTTTTAGTTAGCTGTGTGCTAGGCAGCACGCCGCCGCTGCTGCGCTGTGTGTGTGTGTGTGTGTGTGGCGTTGTCGCGGCGCTTCATTTTCTACTCCGGGTCAATGTTTTTCGTCTCTCTGCTACATATTACAACAATTATTGCGTTCAAGGTGTTAAACATAGATTTTAAGCAATCATCTGTATCCCACAGTTTCCGGAGACCCCTCTTTTAAAAGTGTCCCAGTTTCTTAGCATTGAAATTTCAACGAAATCCTAGCTAGTTCCGAGAGGACCCCCATTTTCCGAACGATAGCCGCGTTCCAGAGCATCCACATTCACACACATTTAGTTCCAGAGACTACCATTTGTCAGGTACTTGAGCTTAGTTCTTAGGAGGCCCCCCCCCCATTTTTTAATGCGCCAGTGGCGCAGTACCAGATATTTACCTACATAATGTGGGGTGTTGGAGTCCTCCCCTTCGTTTCATTCTCCTTGGTATATTGCTTGCCTCCTTGGTTCCTGCCTTAATTTTTTTGTCAGCAATGTGAGCGGCTTATGAATTAGCTAAACTCTGAGAGCTCCCGCGACCCCGTGCCAGGGGGATTAGGGCGGGCCCCTGGGGCTTTGGATTCATCAACGTTGGCAAAGCTGGTATTGCTTACACAAAGTTTCTACGACAAGTTACGTACCGCAAAGCTCGTAGGTGCGATCGGATCAACGCAGCGTTGTCACCTCCTCATTTTCGTTTGTATGGCTTGTGTTCAACCACTCGTATGGAAAGCAGCGACACGTACGCCTGTGGAAGGCGGCGTGCTTAAGACCTCGTGCCTGCGTGCGTGATGTCATGTGCACGTACACGTGGTGCGTGAGTGTGTGTGCACTACACGTGCCGGGCCGGTGTGGCGTGTGCACGTACACGTGCGTGCCTTGCGTACGTACACGGCAGCGTGCCGTGCGTGGGGGCGTGGTACGTAATCGTGCCGTGCCTTTGTGTGCCCAACGTTACCAAGTGCTGGTGCGTGTGCAGCTACAAGGTGCGCACGGCGTTTGTGCACGTACAAGTCAGCGCACGCGGCTGTGTGGCACGTACACGGGGCGTTACTCGAAACTCGCTCTATAACGAAACAATTGCCAGCCTATGGACAAAAAAAGCGTCAATAGGCGCGCCTGGTCTGGTGTAGCTATGGTAATTATTATATTTATTTTTAGATTTGGAAGTTCAGTAATTTCTATATGTCTTTCTCCCCAATAAAACTATGGCATTGTCTTGCGGCTATGCTTGAACACACCCTGTGCAATTTGAGTGCCCGTTTCTACGAGCACCTTATTCAGATCGTGTAAAGTTACGCCAAAGCGTTTTACGTAAATCTTTAGCTTGATGAATGGGGCACCTAAACGGCCCTCGCTTTGCGTATGCGAAATCGCTTACGAAAATTTACTAAATTAGTCTGTGGTTGATGAATCGCACCTAAGCAGACGTCGATTGCATTACACCAGTTTACGAAAAATATTTGCGTACGCGCAGGCTTGATGATTTCATTGAATCTACCCCTGACGCACCCACCGTCAGTGCAACGCGCACACCGGTATTCAGCAGTCTACCGTTACTCGGCGTGTACAGGGCGGGGGGGGTCCAGGTGGCACGTTCCGGACCCTCCCTTCTCGCGCAGAAAACGCATCTGAGGGGGTCTAATTTCAAAAAATTTCAAAACCCCCCTTTGCGTGATCCTGTACACGCCCCTGGTTTCGCCCCCCCTAAGAAAATACCCTGGCGCCGCCCCTGGTAGTACTAGTAGTAGCAGTAGCAGTAATAGCAGCAGCAGCAGTAGTAGCAGTAGCAGCAGCGAAAGCAGATGCAATTGCTCAGCTGACTGATTGTGATTGTATTAGTCTGTGCAGTCTGACTGATAACAAACCAGACCTAGTTCTGGTTCTAGCCACTGCATGTAAATACATTGTGAAATTTCACTGGCCTAGAACCGATGTAGCATTTTAGTTGCGTAGATTGAGGTAATGCGAAGACTAGACGTGTGAAGTCGTGATTCTCTGTGATTGTAGAGCAGTTGGGTATATAAGGAATGGCCGCGTATATTAGGAAAGAACATGGGTTGCAAATAGAACAAAAAAATAGAAAAGTGACAATTTGTACCTGCAGGTTCAGATACTAAGTATCTACTCGTAGAATCATGTTAGTATGAAATTTTAGCAAGGTGAAAAACCATAACGACAATAGTGAATGAATAAGTATTAATTTTGCAAGTAAGGTGCATAATTAATCTCACTCTTCTAGTAGCAGATAACCTTGTCCCCAAAACGCTGCATGTCTCTACGTTACCCATGTGAGTATGCCTTCACACGGTTGTTTCCTCTACTTGTAGAGTGTACCACTGGGCATGTCGAACTGGGCAGCTAAGACCAGTGCGAACACAAACAACTGGGGCAGCAACGGCACTGCTATCTGGGGCGATGCAAAATCGCAGGGCAAAGGGTTCTGGGAGGAAGACGTCGCTCCGGTGAAAACGAAGAAGTTCAAGAATGCGTCAAACAGCAAGTAAGTGGGGATAGCCGTAAGAGCAAAGAGTGGTCGTAAGAGCGAGGGATGGTCATAGCAGCAAGGGATAGCCGTAATAGTGATGGATTGTCGTAAGAGCATGTAGACTTCGAAATTTTTGTACTGCAATTATTTAATATCGACTAATTTTATCTGTACTTCAGGATAGATCCCGATTTTCCTTCTCTATCCCCGGCCAAGGGAAAGAAGACGTCGTCTGCCACCAATGCAAAGAAGGAACCTCGGTCTCAGAAGGAGGCGGTATGATGAAATCATAGCTTGCTATGCAGTACATTTTTGAATGTTGATGTAGTGGTTACCCTGACACTTTAAAATTCCATGCTAACACTTTGTGTGTTGAAGAGGGAACGAACCGTCAGTAGAATAGACCTATCTGTCAAAGCGAGATAACGACGTACCCGTGGATAATGTTGCGTGGTCGGTCAAGATCACCCAGCTTGTACATGATTTTCTGCATGTTCACGCAAAAGGATCCACCTTGTTGACCCTCAGACCTGCCAACTGTTACGTATTGGCCCGTAATTTGTTTACGGACGCCTGCATAGGTTCAAATTACGGTGTTACAGGACGACCTCGAAAAATACGCGACCAGCAAGAAATCTCTGAATTTATATTTTTTAATGCAAAAAAAAGAACTAAACACACAGTGTAAATCAAACTTCTATCATGCTAACATGGACTACTGGAGATGTCTGTAGATTTAGGATAATAAGCTCTTAAAACGTAACCGGTACTCACTGAATGGTTTATGATGCTGTGTTAATCGCTCGCTCCTGTCTGGTTTGGGCGCAGCTCATTTGAAATGACGTCACGGATTCAGGAAGTAAGTAGTACCCGCAATTGAAAGGATATTTTCAGCATATCACCGTATGAGAGATAAATTTTATTATACTGTAATAAGACTGAACAAAACGTGGTCTACTTGAACAAATGCCTTTTGTTACGGAAATCCAATTAATTATTACTGATGATCATCAGATGGGAGATCTGGCAGGCGTCCTGTCACCTTATTGACGAGCGTCGCCTTTAGTGTCCGATCACCATGCTGATTATTTAGAGCCGCCTGTCATTCGTGTCAGGCCGATAGGTCAATGGCTGATGTGGCAGCGGGTGGGGATTGCTAGCACGATGGGTACAAAGTAAGTTTGTTTCTTCTCACTCAGCCATTTTCATTCTCTCTCTCTTTCTCGTTCTGTAGGAGAACGTTATGAAGCTGTTTGAACAGAAGCGACCCATGGACGAATTCACGCAGTGGTGCAACAAGGCTCTATCGGACATGCAGCACACGTTGGACGGTACTTTTTTTGTTAATATAATAAATAAAATTATATATTAAATTAAATTAATTATATTATTTATTATTATTAATATTAATAATTAATTAAATATTATAGTAATTATAATAATTAAATATTAATAATTATATAATAATGATAAAAAACTTAATTATTAATTAATTGAAATATATTAATTAAACAAATAATATTTATTTTATTATATAAAATAATAATAATAATATTTGTTGGTCGGTGAAGACTTCACCTCATCTCGCGACCTTTAGAGGCTTGACAGATGTGGCCATTTCTCAGTGATTAGCGTAGATGTTGGTGTTAATGCCTCGTGTTCCACATGCTGTCGTTATCTCGAGAAAACCACAAGATTGTGCTTGTTACTACGTACTATACTGAATGTAGAATAAATAAACTGCATATAAAATCTGTAATATTATATAGTGTGTAGTAGTAATAATGATCTGATAAACGATAAAATCACAATTAGAATAAAATATAATGGATAATGAATCTACCTGTATTCATTTGTGTTTTACGTTGCAGTTCGACGTTCATTTCTTCCTGAAGGATGTAGATTCCCCATATGAGGTAGGCTTGTAAACATGATTTAAGCATTAATTATATCTCTATTGATATTGTGATATTTGTGTGATATAGAAAAAGCAGACGAGTAATTTTGTCACACCAAGCATTCAACGAAAAGTAAACTTCGCGTTTTTGTCGTTCACAAATTACTGTATTTATTGTCTGGTTTCAGTAAAACATAATTCTCTCTGCATGTTTCACATCTCTACACTTCTGGTCTTGGTGAAAACAGCATATAAACTGCCGTTCATTCGCCACACTCGCACTGATTTGCTATTACCTGTACTGCTATGTCTTTTATATTCCATTTTTTGTGTGCCCAATTGGCACATCGATGCTAGTCATCACAGTTGGGGCAATCGTTGTGTCATCAGGTGATAGTGCAATAGTATCCTGCTACCTGCTGTTATAGATTCATGACTACTGTCACGATCGACCTACCTCACAGTGTAGTTATGGTGCTCCCTCACTGCTGGCTGTTATAGGATTCATTGACTAGTACCGATCCTTCCTCACAGTGTAGTCAACTGTTGCTCCCTACTACCTGCTGTTATAGATTCTGACTACGTAGCGATCATACCTCACCAGTGTAGTATGATTGCACCTTCACTGCTAGCTGTTAAGATTCATGATAGGGATCGTAACAGGTGTAGTCACTGTTGCATGCTCGCTTCACTGCTGCTGTTATAGTTCATACTACCGTGCGATCAATCACCTCGCAGTGTATCACTGTTGTCCTTAAACTGCTGGCTGTTATAGATTCCATGACACGCTAGATCATATCCTCACAGATGTAGTCACTGGCTGCCCCTCATTACTGAACGTTATAGAATTCTATGAACTACGTACGATCATACGGCTCACAGGTGTCAGTCACTGGTTTGCTTACCCCTCACTGCGCCTGCTGTATAATTCATGATTACGTATGATCATTACTCACAGTGTAGCTCAACTGTTGCTCCTTCACTAGCTGCTGTTATTAGATTCATTGACTACGTACGATCATTACCCCCACAGTGTAGTACTTCTGTTGGCCCTTCAACTTATGGCGCACCTGCTTATAGATTCATGACTTAACGTACGGTCATACCTCACAGTGTCAGTCGCTGATTGCTCGCCTCATACTGCTGTTCAATAGATTCATGACTAGTGTGGCGCGGGGGGGGATTTTCCCATTACCCTCACAGGATCGTAAGTCACTGTTGCTCTTCCACGCGCCTGCTGTTATAGATTCATGACCTACGTACGATCATACCTTCACAGTGTAGTCATGCTTGCTCCCTCACTACTGACAGGTTATAGATTTCATGACTACGTACGATTTCGTACTCACAGTGTAGTTCCATCTGTTGCCTCCCCGTCACTGCTGCTGTATAGATTCCATGACTACGCTACGGACCATACCTCAGCAGTGTAGTCACTGTGCTCCCTCCCACTGCTGACACGTTATAAGAAGCATGATACGTACGACTTCATTACCTCACAGTGTAGTCGGCTGTTTGCTCCCTCGACATGATGTTATAGATTCATGACTACGTACGATCTCCTTCCTCACAGTGTGTCCTGTTCTCCTTCACTGCTGCTGTTATAGATCATGACTAACGGTGCGATCAATATCACAGTGTTAGTCGTGTTTGCTGCCATCACTGCTGACTGCTTATAGATTCATGATAACGTACGATCGCTTACCTCACAGTGGTAGTCACTGGTTGCTCCCATATTACTGACGTTATAGATTCATGATTACGTCACGATCATAACCTCCCAGTGTCAGTCGGGCTGGTTGCTCGCTCTCACTAAACTGACGTTATTAAGATTTCATGAACTACGTACGATCATACCTCACAGTGTAAGTCACTGTTTGGCTCTCCTCACTACTGATGTTATAATTCATGAACTACGGTAGCGATCATACCTCAGGCAGCTGTGTCACTGTTGCTCGCTCCACTTGATGCTGTTATATGATTCCGATGACATACGTACGATCTATACCGTCACAGTGGTAGTCACTGTTGCTCCTCAACTACGACCGTATAGATTCATGGACAAAGTACGAATCCTTCCTCACAGCAGATGTAGTCACGTTGCCTTCCACTGCATGCTCCTTCATTAGCGATGTTCATGACTACAGTACGAATCATACCTCACAGTGTGTCACTGTTTGCTCCCTCCACTTACTGATGTTATAGAATTCATGACTACGCACGATCATACTCACAGTGTAGTCACTTAGGTTCGCCCATCACTATCTACGCTGTTATGATTCATGACGTATTTCTCGTACGATCGTTACCTCACAGTGTTAGTCCACCTGTTGCCTCCCTCATATTACTGATGTTCATAGAATTTCATAGACTACGTGCGTCTATACCTCAACAGTGTTAGGTTACTTGTTAGACCTCCCATCACTGTCTGCTGTATATGATTCGATGACCTACTACGATCCTTCCTCACAGCTGTAGTCAGCTGTTGCTCCCTCACTAACTCGCTGTTATAGATTCATGACTACGTGGCGATTCATACCTCACAGTGTAGTCACTCGTTTGCTCCTTCACTATAGCTGTTTATAGATTTCATGACTAGCGTACGACATAACCTCAGCAGTGTAAGTCACTGTTCGCTCCTTCACTGCTGGCTGTATAGATTCATGGACTACCGTGGGCGATCATACCTCACAGTGTAGTCACTGTTTGCTCCCTCACTGAGTTTAGATTCATGACTACCGTAATCGAGTCATACCCTCACAGTTGTAGTCACTGTTGCTCTCCTGATGCTGTTATAGATTCATGAACTACGTACGATCAAATACCTCTCATAGTGTAGTCGACTGTTCCGCCCTCCGCTCATTTACTGATGTTATAGAATTCATGATACGGTCACGATCGTACCTTCCGTGACGTCGGCTGTGCTCCCCTCGATTACTGATGTATAGATATGACTAGTGTCATACTCACCAGTGTAGTCACATGTTGCTACCTCACTACTGACCGTGTAATAGAATTCATGAAACTTACGTCGATCATCCTCACAGTGTAGTCACGCTTGACCCCTCACTAACTGCTGTTATAGATTCCATGACTACGTACGATCCACTACCTCACCAGTGATAGTCAACTGCTTGCCCTCACTATACTGACGCTTATAGATTCCATGGCAGCTACGTACGACTCATACCTCACAGTGTAAGTCCACTCAGTTTGCTCTCCATCACTACTGACGTTATAGATTCCCATGACTACCGTGAGCCGATCATACTCAGCATGTAGTCACCTGTTGCTCCCTTCACTTAACTGCGTTATAGATTCACATGATTACGTATGATCGTACCTACCAAGTCGTAGTCACCATGTTTGCTCCCTCACTACTTGACGTTATAGCATTCATCGACTACGTACGATATCCTATCACAGGCTGTAGATCACTGTTGCTGCCCGTCACTACTGACGTATATACGATGTCGATGACTACGTCATGATCGTTACGCTCACAGTGTAAGTCACGGTTGCTCCCCTCACTGGTGCTGTTATAAGATCATGACTACATGCGATCGTCACCTCACGGAGTGTATGTCACTGTTGCTCCCTCCAACTGTACTGACGTTATGATCCATGAGACTACGGTCTCACGAATCATACCTCACAGTGTAGTCACTGTTGCTCCCTCACTGCTGCTGTTATAGATTCATGACTACGTACGATCATACCTCACAGTGTAGTCACTGTTGCTCCCTCACTGCTGCTGTTATAGATTCATGACTACGTACGATCATACCTCACAGTGTAGTCACTGTTGCTCCTTCACTGCTGCTGTTATAGATTCATGACTACGTACGATCATACCTCACAGTGTAGTCACTGTTGCTCCCTCACTACTGATGTTATAGATTCATGACTACGTACGATCCTTCCTCACAGTGTAGTCACTGTTGCTCCCTCACTACTGACGTTATAGATTCATGACTACGTACGATCATACCTCACAGTGTAGTCACTGTTGCTCCCTCACTACTGCTGTTATAGATTCATGACTACGTACGATCATACCTCACAGTGTAGTCACTGTTGCTCCCTCACTGCTGCTGTTATAGATTCATGACTACGTACGATCGTACCTCGGTGAGAGCAAAGACGCGAAGGAATTTGCGAAGCAGTTCATCGACAAGCGCAGCAAATACCGCAACCAGGCCAAACAAACAGATGAGGTGAGCGTGAGTGGTCCGTGGAAGGTAAATCATCGCCCACCAGCCCATATGTACGTCCGTCCGGTTGCTGCTGCCATATTGTGAATGCTGTAGAGCAGCGGTTCTTAACCTGGGGGTCCTGATCCCCATGGGGGTCGTTTGGGGTTTTTCCAGGGGTCATGAAGGGGTCATAAATAAAACAAATTCATTTAAATTCTATATAATTATCAGGGTGCTACAAAATATTGTCGGTCGGGCAAGTGGCAATTTGGTTGCCCACAAGCACAATTAAAGCACTTGCCCGAAATCTTTTTTTGATAGCCTGATGGCTGTGAAGCAATTTCAGCCATCCCATTGACTGAGTATTGGCAGACATGTTTTCATAAATCGGGCTGTTTTTTTTCCATTTTTGTTTCGGGGGTCACGGTACTGACCAAGAATGTCTGATGGGGTCGTGGGGCCAAAAAGGTTAAGAACCATTGCTGTAGAGACTGGTCCTGCAGCGGCAGCAGGTCTGTGTGGGTCGTGAGGAAAGCTCGTGCTCACAGGGCAGAGTACAGGAGATGACATACTCACCGGGTGGTTGTAGGACAATGTGGGGAGAGCAGATTAGGCCGGAGGGGAGCGGAGATAGTAGTGACGTCATAGTAGTCAGCGTGCAGAGTGAATGTGAAGTACTGTGCGACGTTGAGCTAGTGTTGTCAATCGCATTGGCGTGATGGCTGTGCGTGGTCGGTCGATTGTTAACATCACCAGGCTTTGTTCCGGTTGTTAACTGTTGCATGTTTGTTTATGCATTGTGTTGCAGGAGAGTAGGCCTAGCATTGCCAAGCTAGTTGTTAACTGTTACATTGCATTAACTGTTGCATTGGGTTGTTAGCTGTTGCATTGTGTTGTTAACTGTTGCACTGTGTTGTTAACTGTTGCACTATGTTGTTAACTGTTGCACTGTGTTGTTAACTGTTGCACTATGTTGTTAACTGTTGCACTGTGTTGTTAACTGTTGCACTGTGTTGTCAACTGTTGCACTGTGTTGTTAACTGTTGCATGGGGTTGTTAACTGTTGCACTGTGTTGTTAACTATTGCAGGACAGCATGTGGGGACCCGCCCCAGCCATTACTCCGTCCGGCGGGGGCAAGCAGTCCGTTCATCCCGAACAGGGCAGCGGTGGCGCCACCAAGCGAGGCGACGGCAAGAAGAAAAAGAAAAAGATGCAGAAGATGGATCCGAGCATGCTGGGATACACGGTGCACGCCAACTCCAGCCGCGTGAACGCAGGAGAGATCGAGACCCTCGACACCCAGTAGATGGCGCCGCCGTCGCGCGGTCCCCTCGCAGCGTATCATGGTTTGAGCGCGCGGCCCCGCGGTTTGTTCGGGCGCTGACGTGTGTCTGCGTCTCGTTTGTTTCGCGACGGCGAAGATGTGAGATTACGTGTGGGTTCACGGCAAGGTCACGCGTGGCATCGCTCTGAGGTCATGCCAATGTCGCACTCGGAACTGTCGCCGCGCGCTTCTCAGAGTGCACTCGCAAAGTATCGCTCGCTTTCGCCGTCGAATTCGCCGTAACGATTCCCGTGCTGGCTTAGGGGTGTGCAATTTTTTTAGTGTGTTTAGGATTTAGTCCCGTGTGCTGTTGGTAGCGTGGGCTGGTCATGAGAAAATTCCGATGTTGTGTATTTACGCGTGCAGGCAACATTCGTGGAAATGTGTTTATTTTTCAGTTGTGTATTTAACCTCTCGACTGTAGAGCTGTTTTCGTTTTCGTGTTGGGTTGGGTGTTGTCGTGTTACGCTACTATATAGGGAAAATCATGGGAATTCATTCAGCTGCTTTAACTGTTCAGCAGAGCACTAGTAGAGATGTAAGTTTTCTGATTTTTGACGGAATTCCGATTTTCTGATATTTTCAATAAAGATTCCGATTCTGTGAGATCTAGGGACACTGGAAATTCCAAAAAGTCTCTATGTTGAGCACCCCTGCCTACGCAAGGACATGCCAGGTGCCCTTCAGGGTACCATTTGCCCCCCATTCCGTGGCCAACAGTCACTGTTGTCGGAGTGTCTGAATATTTTCCTATTTTTTGGACAAATACCATTTACATCTCTGACTAGAAAGCAGAGGGGAAAATAACTGCCGATTCTCTCGCATTGTGTCGTGAAATTTCGTTTGTGAATCGACGCTTCGTGCGCACTCGAGTGTGTGGCGTTTCGATTGTTGCGAGTAGCGGTGAGGCTCGCGGCGTGTCGTTGCTGTGCGCTCGTTCTTTGCGTCATCGTAAGTGCCGGTCCACACCGCTGGTGTGAGCGTTGCATTCACGAAGCAGCTGCTGTGGTATTACTTTGTATGACGTGTATGTCTTATCGTGGAAGGTGATAGTTATACTGAGTTTTATGATTATCGTGATTAGGATAGGATTAATGGCACGGGATCGTTTCGGTTATACGGAGATTGTGGATAACAGAGAGTGCACCACTGATCGTCATGGGGGGAGGGGGCGCGTCGTAACCAACCGCCGTTAAACCCGCGTCATCGTCAAATTTCCTGTTGGCTTGTTTCGCGCGTCGAGGGTTTCGTGAGTTCCTCGGCCGATTTTGTCGGAGAGAGAATCTGTGACGCGTGAAGCCATTCGCGTTATCTGCGATACCGCGCAGGTATGCACACAAGGCGTATAGCGCTGTGTGGGGTTGAATTAGGCTGCAGCTCACATAAACCCTCGTCACACGCTGAGCATGCAGCGTGGGAGGGGACGTTGGGGAAACGTTGCTGCGTTGTGGAGAGGAAGGTTTCCGGTTTGGACTCGTCCGACTGCAGAGTGCTGCGCCTGTCGGCGTCTCGGTGGGAGGGGCTGTGTCCCAGAGTCGAGACCGACTTTACATTAAAGTTGGAAATTCTTGGAGATTTTTAAAACATTGACGTAACCGTGGCGACAGGCGTTTTCACACTACGGGTCACGTCGGAACACGTGAGCTGGCACCTTTAGGGGGTGGGGGGCGCTCTGCACCCAAGCCGATAGTGGGCCGTTTCTTGTGTCACGTGACCAGTAGGTGGTGCTTGCGTGCTGATCTTGCGTGTGGAGCCGTGTGGTGTCACCGTAATGTTACGCGAGGGGCGTCTATGTCAACTTCACGTAGTGAGGAAGTTGCAGGGTGATGTAAAGGGATCTGGGGGGAGGGGGAGGGTACTACGTCATGCTCTACTGCAGTTATATACAGTACAAGGGTATATCTGCTGCTACAACCAGGAGTGCTACAGCTAGCAAGCCTGGGGGCGTGCAGGCATGCAGGCACGTGTGTGGGGGAGGGGGCGTGCATGTGGCAGCTCACTTGTCCTCAAAGGTAAAGTCAAGGTTGTCATAACATGAGTTACTGGAGAATAAACACATGTTGATTGTGTACAATTTCGGATTTCAGGCATTTCACTCGCACTACTCTGCAAACCCAAATTCATTTTCAATGCATAGACATACAAATATATATATATATATATCATATGTTGTTTTTCGTAATATTTTATTATCTGATACTTATAAATGAAAATAATACATCCAACAGATCAGGCAGTCTTGATATTAAACAAATCATGTGGTTATGCTCGGTATCCGTAATTGCAATTTTACACTTTCTCTCACTATGATCAATGTATTACCGCCGGTTACCGAAACTGTGCAACCACTCTGTTATATATATATATATATGACACAATTTTGCTATTTAGGTACATTATTACCTCATGTAAACTTTCACGCCCGACTTGTTACAAATGCCTTCACATGCAATTTCCTACAATGCTGTATACATGCAAATGAACTATTATGTCATCCCTACCGGTACCAAAAAAGCAAAAACCAATGCTGACTTCAAGACCATAGGCAGTTTCTCGTCCTTGGGTCTAGCACAAGTGGTCGTTGCCGACTGTAGCTAGAAGGTGGCACCACGTTAGAATTTACGGGAACGATAATGAACGTTACATTCCGAAGAAGGAGCTGATAACATTCATCTGAGAGAATTAGGCATACTGCGACCTTTGTCCGTGTTTGTTATAAGTGCACTGCTTTCAACATCAGGTGTGGTTGCTTACATATTTAGCAACTTTCTATGTGGATTCTGCCACCACCCGCTCTACTCCCAGTTCTAACAGCCACACCCCACATTGCAAGCAAACCCATCACGTTCTTTCAAGTGTATCACAGATGAAAATTGGAAAATGATGACAGCATAGCAACAGATTTAACAGTGGCAAATCTTATAAGAGAGCTGCGTAGTTCCAGTCCAAAGTGAAGTTACCAAGCTTTGTTCTAGTAGCACGAAAAAAAATCCTATCTTGTCATCGGCAATTATTTAATTTCGTATCTTCTTTCATCTTTACAATAACTGATCAGGTTATTTGGTTTACTGTGCTGCAAATTTAATGATAACCAGTTGCCAAGACCACATAGTGAGTGTGTTCCCGTTGCACTTTCCTCACAATATTAATATATCAATAATAACTTCCAGCTTAGAATTGGAAACGTCGACGAATTTTGAAAATTATATTATTTATGATTTTTTTTATATACAATCTGTTCTGACAATTAAAAAGAACTCGTTACTTCACGAATGTAAAGCCAATAGCCAATCACAGGCCCTGACTGTTAAGCGTTACCACTGTCACTCGATTTCGTGCTCAAACATGATAAAACCAGCAGTGACATCAACAGCAACGGAGCTTCGTCTCCCGCCCTGTACCGACGCCGCGGACGCGACTGCAAGTTTCACGGCATTTATACCTATAATAACATACTCTTATAAAAATGGCTTCCGCTGGTAATATCCATCTAGGGCAACGGCGACGCCCCCTATTTGTCCGTCGTGATGGTCTGCCTCTTCCGGAGCGCCTCGGCGATCTCGTATTTGAATACCTCCTTCTGTTTCTCGTTGGAGAGAAGGTCAACAGAGCGGAGGCTGTTGACGATGTCCTTCGTCTTGCCGAAGTAGATTTCGTTCAGCGTGTTCCTGATCTTGTTCTCCATGTCCTGTGAGAAGGCAAAGAAGCCAAAGCAAGAGCATGAGTGTGTGTGTGAGAGAGAGAGAGAGAGAGAGGGAGAGACAGCATATGAAAACACATTAGAGAGCAAATTGTTCTCACCAAGACAACGTTAAAATGGGATTATAGAAGTGTTTTATACAATGTCTTGTATAGTCAATGTCTAATATGTCAAGTCTAACATAGTCAATGTCTACGTGTCTGATTGTCAATTCGTGTAGAATCACTGTCTTATATGTCAAGTCTTATATAATCAATGGCTTATATGTCAAGTATTATACACTAAATTACTTGTATGCTAAGTCTCCTATATGGTAGGTACAATGACATATCTAACGTAATGTCCTATTATCTTACTTTTGACAAATAAGACATGTTCCTGCACACAGGCATTTAGCACTACACACATTCTGCATGGCTATGTTGGTTAATAACACTTAAGGGTCTATACAGCTCTCTTAATATGTTACATTAATATCAGAAGTAGATAATAGGGAAGGAGTGTGACTTCAATAAACAAGGGAAATTCGTCATTTACTAGCCTTAGAATACCTACGATTTACTACGCGTAACTCAACCAACTTGAGCTCAAATCGTACACAGTACATTCGCCTAGCATCGTGCGAAATCGTTTCCTCGTATACACCCGCAATCCGAAGATACAGACTAAAACGTACGACACGATTCTCCATTCTGTTGCCAGCAAACCGAATCCATAACCTGCCTAACTTGAAACAATAGGCAGCTACTAACGACTCTTGCGCACTCTTTTGCCCTCGGCGATGCGATGTGGCTCGCTGGGAGATTGGACATCGACGCAACACTCGGCGAGCTAATCTTTGACCTATTTACAGCTGGTATGCCCCCCACGCACGCACGCCCACCGCAATCAGCAGCAGCTCCAGCTCCAATCTCCCAGCAAGCCACACCGCATCGCCGAGGGCACAAGAGTCATTAGTAGCTGCTTATTGTTTCAAGTTAGGCAGGTTATGGATTTGTTTTGCTGCTAACAGAATGGAGAATCGTGTCGTACGTTTTAGTCTGTATCTCCGGATTGCGGGTGTATACGAGGAAACGATTTCGCATGATGCTAGGCGAATGTATAGTCTGTACTGTGTACGATTTGAGCACAAGGTGGTTGAGTTACGCGTAGTAAATCGAAGGTATTCTAAGGCTAGTAAATGACGAATTTCCCATGTTTATTGAAGTCACACTCCTTCCCTATTACATGTATTATCTACTTCTGATTAATATGTAAACAACGCATATGCTATATCTTTTCTACGCAGATTCTTCCCTGCACATGACAGAATTTGCCTATCTGCCTGGTGTGATTCACAGGCAGCCCTAGCCAGTCAGCATTTGGATATCGTATTCTAAAACCACCGCTTAGCAATGAATTTCCACTAAGTCGACACTTCTATCTGTAGGGAGATTTGTTGTCCTTAATAAACTTTCTCTATGTCGCAATATGGCTTGTGGTTTCGCAACTCTACTTATGCACGCATGCAAAAAACGCTTATAAACTGATCTAGCTTCAACTGAACAAGCAGCTCAATATTTAAGGGGGAGAATTTATCTCAAACGGACGGGAGAGGCTGATTGCTGGCGCACAACCGGGCAGTGAGCGCGCGTTTGCTCAGTCGCCACGAGAACGCCTGCTCACCTCGACTAGCCGCCCGATGTTGGCGATGTGCGGGCTCGTGTCGCTGACAGCCGAGTCGGACTCGACCTGTCGCGTGAGGGAGCCACCGAGGTTCATCGTTCCCGAGCCCTGCTTGTTCGTCTGCAGCCACAGCATCGCCGTCGACGTCAGCTTGTAGTGAGCTGTGCGCCCGTTAGGCTTCTCCTGCAAGCATCGTGTGCGCACGTGAGGGATCGAAGGTAAGAACGGCTGCCTATCGTGTCGGGAATGTTTGCAGCATTGTCGCACATACAGTCAGATCTGTATTAGCAAACACGTTCGTATAACAGACGCCTGTCTATGAGGTACCCACGGTATTATCGAACGCATTAATAGGAACAGTTGTTTGTAGCACAAGGAATGTTCGATGTATTAGATTGTAAGTGAGTGAGTAAGTGAGTGTTTGAGTGAGTGAGCATTTGAGTGAGTGAGTGACTGAGCTTTGAGTGAGTGAGTGAGTGAGTGAGTGAGTGTTTGAGTGAGTGAGTTCCCTTCAAGTTGCACTTATACAGTGAAATCCTGATGTCTATAGAATGGACACTTGCTTATTATTACAAAGGACACTCCAGTTTCCTTCAAGTAATCCTCATACACAGGTTTGATTGTATACTAGATACATTCTTGATTGTACTGTTAATGACAGTTCCCTTTGACAGTTAATTACTGTGATGATAGCCGCCATTAAAGCAACAAATTTAGCATTAAAGTAAAAAAGCAACTTTTGTCACAGGTTCTTTCTTGGTGAAGAACCCAATGTGAATGAACCTACTATTAATGCAGTACATACCTGCACTTCTACAACATGAATAGAATCCCAGCAGCCCTTGATCTTCTTTGATCCATCACCGGCTTTCTTGATGAGGATAACACCAGCAAAGCCATGGTCTAGATCCCACAGGTAGACAGACGACACACCGCCCTCAAAATACCTGTGAGTTACACATGCAATCAACTAAGTGTTCGGCTATGTTTTTTGTCATTTTGGTTTCAATCATGAAGCATAGGGCCTCCATAACCATGTTGCTTTGGTTTCTGCAACAAGCTTCTCCTAGCACAGCTACTAGCTTTTATGTGATTTGTTAACCTCCATTACAATACACTTTCACAGAAGTTTGATTTTTTTCAGAGTTAGGTCTTGCAATTTGAAAGATGGCATGACTGTTGCCAGTGTGAGGTTGGGGTAGACCTTGTGTGACTTTCAGTAGCCACATGTTTCAAGACATAGGAAAACCATGACCATTTCAGCGCAGTAAACCAGTAATAATAGCAGCTCAACATTACTGCATCTTTAATCCGAAACTTGTACCACATAGCAGCTTGTATCGGTCGAGCCACGTGTCTGCTCACTAGTCTCACACTTACATGTCTCTATACTGGTCAAAAGCAGCATTAGCATCGATCTCTAATCGACGCAGTTTTTCCGATGGCATCGCGCCATCATCTAGCGGTGGGTCGTACGTATTACTCCATGGCGATCTGTCAACATGTGGCCGAATAAATAATCACTCAATCTGCTCTAACTAGCCTACTGGCATTCATATTCCAAATACCAATATTACAGTGATAGCCATACACGAATGTAGCCAATGACGTAGTACAGAGTAATGACGTAAGGGCAAAGTTAAATTAATATGGCTACTCCTGGACACTTATTCCTGATCATATATCAATATCACACATGCTGCGTATCAATAGTTAGTTGAGAAATTTTTACAGGTCACACATGCTGTATATCAGCTTCAAATAATACAGGCTTACCAGATGATGCACAACCAATGCGAACAACTGAAGCATGCAGTTAGACAATATTAAATATATTTTCTGAATGTTTATATAATTATGACAACGTACCTGTATGAATCACCATCTCTGTTGTAATCACAAAGCAAGTAATCCCTCCCAACATGTTTGTCTCGCGCAATCTTTAACGGTTGATCTACCGACGATAATAGATCTTCGCAAAGGCTTGGTACCTATGGCATAAAATATTCCTCTACCATCATTCACTGTTTGATATATTAGTTAGGTATGTAATTTACTCCATCATTTTTATGCACATTACAAACAATGTACTCACAAGCAGATTTTTACAGGACTACACATAATATTTTAATTCCTTTGACATACACACTTAAAACTGGAGAAACGTTTACATATAAATTTACGCAATGACTTTAATTCCTGAAAATATGGCCCACTAACCATTCTCATTTTAAATAATAAATAGTGCAATAATTGTAATTGTTTAAAATAATTATATTTGAAATTTTAAAAACAATATTTGGACATCTTTACAAACCAAATCTATGAGGTCACTAAGGTTCTTCTCGATCTGCTGTGGCGGCAGACGACGCATCAAGTCCAAAGCGCAATCTAACTGCTGGTCCGTCTACAATGAAACCACACATCGAATAATTATGTCATTTTCTTTTTCGTCTTCATTGTCCTAAACTTGAGGTAACCTTATAATCATCCCTAAATCCCTGCACCAATAAACTAACAAGAGCCGCAGAGCGTCTGGGCTCATCTGAGGTCTGTTGCTACGGTTATAAACGTAACATTTAAGTCGTGCGTATAGTGACACCTTTGTTAGACGCAGATATGCAGATATACAGTTGCGTACACATCATTTCAGCAACCTTCTGCATTCTGCATACCTCCCAAATTCCATTGGTTGATACAAACCGCGTGCCTGAAACTCCTGTTTTATGGTGCATTGTGACCCAAACCCTAACTCTATTAAAAAAATAATAATAATTGTTCTAAAAATTATTTGTTGTTATTAAATTGTTGTAAATAAATCATGTAAATATTTGCATTCATTGGAAAAAAATAGTTAAATAGATAAAGCTGTTATTGAAAACTTAATCCATTTACCCATTGTGTTGTTATGAACAATCTTCGTCCTGCCAACATTGCTTTTTATCTCTGTGTTCATGATCAGGGAATGCAACATTTTCCGTCATTAAATGCTTCATTATTACAGTTGCCTCACAGGGCTTTGTAGGGCCATGATTCGACTCACGAGTGTAAGCAATTGTGGACAACCAGTGGGCCAGTAACCAGTATCAGTAATCAGTAACTAGTGGATATAAGCCCCGAAAATCCTGTCCCAGCTCAGCAGCCAGTATGGATGGCAGGCCCCCAGCAGTACCCATAAGCAAGGAAAAACATAAAAATAAAAGGAGATCACAAAGAAATAAGAAAATGCATCAAGAATTTAGTATAATATATGCAAATGCAAGAGGTATAAAGTCCAAATTAAATAGTTTCTTCGAAATCACTGACCATAAAAAGCCAAGTATTATGGTCATAGTAGAAAGCCACATGAGAGATAAGGAGAGTATAAACATACCGGGTTACACAATGTATGGAGTAGGTAGAAAGGAAAGAACAGGGGGTGCACTTTCATAGCAGTTCTAGAAAAACTAAAAAATATTACAGTGATCGTCAGAGAGGTTTATGAACCAAGTGAGCAACTGTGGCTAGTGATTGATAACCATAGAGTGAAAATAAGAATCGGTCTCATATATATGGTTTGCAAGAATCAAGATCACAGATTGAGGATATAAGAAATCAGTTTATGATAATTGAAGAAGAAATAGTATCATCTTCTCAACAGAATCAGATGTGTATTGTATTGGAGGATTTTAATATTAAAGTAGGAAATTATTTACCCGGGAATAACAGAGAGATAACTCCAGGAGGAAAGATACTGCTAAACCTAATAAAACGTAATAAACGTAATAAACGTAATAATTTGAACAAAAGTGGTAAATGTGAGGGGCTGTTGACCAGGCAGCAGGATGACAAAAAATCTATTCTAGGTTATACTTTAGTGGATAGTGAATTAGAAAGGAAAGTAACCAGGATGATAGTCGATGAAGAAAGGAACTGGCACCTGTGTCGTTATGGAGATACAAAAAATTGAGATTGTAAAACCACATGTACAGTGACCACAACACAATTGAAGTATGTATGACTATGAATCTTGCACTGAAAAGAAATAGTCTGCATATAAGTACAGACCAAGGAGAAGAGAGGGAAGACAAGGGATATAATATCAGAAACCAAACAAGACTTAGAAAGTGCAAGGAAACCAATAACAATAGCCTAAATTTACAGAAAATTTGGATGGGGCCGGGCACACTGATATCCAGGTACAGAAATTGGTTAAGTAAGCTGAAGAAAAATATACCGTATTGCTTTCAAAAGAATAGAACCAAACAAGTACCTCAGGTAAATGATGAGATAAAATACCTCTTGAAATTAAAACGCTCTTCAAAAAGGAAATTTAGTCAGGAAAAAACGTGTGGGCATGAGGAGACAGTGACCTTATGGCCCTGTCACACATTGACGATTTAGCCAGCGTATGCCGGACGTATCAAAAATTTGGTGAATACGCTGGCGTACGTCGAATAAGTTATGGGTAAGCTTTGTATAATGGCCCTGTCACACATTGACGATTTAGCCAGCGTATGCCGGACGTATCAAAAATTTGGTGAATACGCTGGCGTACGTCGAATAAGTTATGGGTAAGCTTTGTATAAGTTAAGAGCACGCTGAAGCACGCTGACGCACGCTGAAGCACGCTGGTATACGTCGTAGTACGGCGAGGTTGTCTAAAAATTTTGAGCATGCTCAAAATTTTCCGACGTATGCCAGCGTATGCCCATACGTCCCGCATATTGAGCAAAATCCGTTGAACCTGAACTGACTAATAGCAATTCCCATTTTTGCCAAAAAATTGCCGTGGCTCGAAAGTACGTCGACTGGCGTGCTTCAAAATAGGACGTTTAATATGGGAGCATAGCAGTAACAACTATACCCAAATGTCAAACATGTGGGCCAAACGGTTCCTGAGTTATCTTTGACCGAAGCGAAATGTTGACGGACGGACGGACGGACGAATGTATGACGGACAACGACCCATGGCAATAGCTCAGCTTGACGATGTCAAGGTGAGTTAAGAATGATAACATTCAATATGGACAAGACAAATATAATGAATATTAACTTTTCGTCTCATAGAAACATTACTACGGAAAAAGAAGAAAACATTTATTTGGGTAGAACAGAGATAAAACATTGTACTAAATACAAATATCTAGGAGACATTTTTAATAACAACGGTGACTACATAGATATGATAAAGGAGAGAATAGACAGAGGCAGGTATATGATGGGGGAGGTCCTAACAATGACTAAATCAAACCAATTAGGCAATTTCACAGTAGAAGCTAGAGTGAAATTATATGAGTGCACGATACTCCCATCTATATTAAATAATAGTGAAACTTGGACAAACCTAACAAAAAAGGAAATTATACAATTATTGGAAAGCTTTCAAAATGATTGCTTATAAGGAGAATACTAGGTGCACATAGTAAAACCCCACTAATCGCTCTAAGAGTTGAGCTAGGTATAATACCAATTCTTGACCAAATCTATCATAAAAGATTAATGTTATTACAATACATAATTAATTTAGAGCAAGAATGTTTAATGAGAAGAGTGTTGTTACAGCAAATAAAATGTGGGAAAAAAATTGGGCAAATGAAATCATAGACAAAATTGAAGAATATAAATTAAATATGTCATTCTTATCTATTGGTGCCTTATCAAAAATAAGATGGAAAAGATGGTAAAAGAGGCCATTCTAAAAAAAACGTGATAGAAAAAGACGAAGGGAAAGGAGCAACAAAAACAAAACTGAAAATGATTAATATTAATAATTATGGATTAAAGAATTATATGACATCAATGTCATATGAGGATTCTTGTTTTGTGTTTAAATGCAAGACATGCATGATAGATTTAAAGGCTTACTTTAAAAATAAGTACACTAATGATGGGTGTGACTTGTGTAGTGGGGAAAAAAAAGAAGACTTGTTACATCTATATAATGGCTTTGAATATGAGGATATAAATAAAGGGGAGTCCATTGAAAACTGAAAATGTGACAATCCCAAGTTACTTAAAATTGCTTCCGACTACGTGAAGAAATGACCAAAATATAGAGATCAAAGAATAAGATTAGCAGAATTAATTGCTGAAGGTACAAATCAATGAAAATAATGAGATGAAAGTTCATTCCTAGAATATCCTCGCACCTTCACCAGAAGTGATGCCTTGTGAAATACAAGAGTGGGACAATATACGATACGATACGATACGATACAAAGTCAAGGATATCTAAAATTCAGTGAGTGTAAACATTACGTTTGGCCAATTCGTTCACACCGTTACACTTACAAATTCCACTATCGCATCTTGTAACATTTTCCATATTGACTGTTAGTGTAGTACGGGGAATAACACCTGTTATTAGTGTTAACATTTTGAATTTCTTGATATTTTGAGTTAATAATAATACTTAAAGGCTCAAAATCCGCATCCAAACGCTAATTTCTTCAGTACTAGACTAGCAAATACTTCGTGTCATGCATAATCATACTACCTTATGGCAAAATAAACTATAGTTCCTCCCATTTCACTGCGCATTGTCTTATAAAAGGTATTTTGAAAATACCTCCAATGTTGTTGAAATTCTCCGATGTTGTTGACAGTTTCCCCAAGCAACCGTGCAGCCAATGGCAATGAATACACTCTAGTATCTACAATATTTTCTTCCTAATAGTAATAAAACCGACGCTATACGTCTTAGAAGTTGTATTTTGTTTCAGGTAACAGGTACCGGTCACCTGCTATAACCGGTAAATGCTTCGGACAGAGGGTCGTGTCTAAAATATAACTAGCACTAGTAGTAGTAGTATACCGCTATACGTAGTACCGGTACACATAAGGCGGGTGTTGCGGCGAACTTGTATTATGTAATTATATCCAAACCCGAAAAGTTGACGTTGCAGTTTATGTAAGCTCTTATTTTGCAATTAGCTTACCATCCTGATACACGGAGACACTCTCAATGGGTTGTCACGAATGTCAACTGGAATATTAACAGTTTAACTAAGCAAAACAGTATATTTCTAATAAAATCCCTTCCCTAAATCAACTTCCGGGTATCTGCATGGCGGTGTGGTTACATCCGGTTGGCACGTGATTAGTCGGCCAATCAAAAGTTTTCAAAAACGTGTCCGTCCTTATTTGGTAAAAATTCCTTAAAACAATTCTATATATATAATAAATAAAAAATATCTGCTATACGTGCAAAATTTTAAAATTGCAATATCAGTTATTTTGACAAAAAATAATTACAAAACTTTACAGGTAACTACCTGTTTGGTTGTGCATGCATACGTGAAAGGGCTCCCGAGAGGCTTCAACTACAGGAATGTTGACACGGCGTTTGTAGTTGTAACTTACTTATGATAAATTTAGAGAAGTCTTCGGTCATTTACGTAATTTTATTGCATGCTACAGTCGGCGTTATAGCGGACTAGTCAGTTGTCACGACACCAGTAAGTTCATTTACAATTTTTAGAGTGTGGTAAAGTTAAAACGTAAACATGTCATTATATAATAGTAATAGGTAAAGCAGGACGTGGATGACATATTCGTCCGAGCATCAGACACCTGTTCGTATGCTCTATTCGTCCGAGCAGTTGTTGCGCACGCGCTGTTCATGTTGTATTACATAAATGTAATATAATGCTAGTCTAGGGACGTGCCTACTCCCTAACCCTAATCCGAATCCTAACCCCAACCCTAACCCTAACACAATTTCACAAACCATAAACCGACTCGGTTCGCTTATAAAGTTATAGGTGGGGGCGGAGTGACGTCACTTCCCCTTAAGCTAATACGTCGGGCTTGAGCTCCGCGCCGATGAAAACCAAAGCGCTGAATCGGTCTGGGAGTCTTATAGTCAACGCGGTACGGACCGATTGACTGGTAACGCCATAAATATTTGCTAATAGTATTTGACTAAGTCGTTCGTCAATAACTCAATATTTCACAGAGAATATAGCTAAGACATGTGTCTATAGTATCTAAAGATATGTTATTATGCAAAAGATCTCCCGTATCCGGCTTTGAATTCATATCCTACTACTAGCTGTGAATGATCTGAGTTTATGACGGCCCGCCGGAGAGCGGCACGATTAGTCATCCTAGCCTGCACGATTAATGTGTGGCGCAAGCCGGGAAGCAAATTTCAGATGATTAAATTTTTAATTATTTCTAGATACCTATAGACACGCATGTTCTAGCTATACTCTCTGTGAATCTTGAGTTTATTGACGGCACGACTGAGTGCAATTAATTAGAAATATATGCGTACCGTAATCTCCCGTACCGGCATTGAATATAGATACACCCACTCTGCCCGAATGGAGCCGCTTGCTGTTCCAAGAATTAGAGATGATGTCCAAGATTGAGACGCTATGTATTTCGTAAATGTGGGGTAGCCCCTATTAAACTCGACAGGGTGTTCTTTAAGGTCTCTTTGTTTATGCATTTCGACCGAGAAACAGCTATGTAGCTTCACAGGAAGTGTGCAAAACTCTGCTTTTCGCGAGAGCTACTCCTCGTTTCTTACTGTTTCGCCACCATTGGCTACCGCCGTCTTCTCGTTCTCGCCCTGGTCCTAATTGTGGTGTAGCCATGCTGTCTCTCCTCTCGGCCTATCGGCAGCTCAAAGAATGAATACGTTTTTTTGTCACTGTGATAAAAGACTGTATTGCGGCAATTCCAAACATCGCTACAAATTCCTTGGCAGCTATGCGCATGCGCGGCATTGAGGCGGTGTGTTACTGACGGTTTGTTTTTCCACTCGGTCGTGCGATGATCTACATCCGGTCAAATAGTCAAAAGTTCCCGGATGTCCGCCCCCACCTATACGCGAGTGATAGTACCAAACATCATCTATGGTGTATAACCACATACGCAACTCATGTATGCAGGGGCGTCACAGCCGTAGCAAAACGCTACGGGGCCCCAGCCTAAAGGGCAAAAAAATCATAAATCTAAAACCTAAAGGGTAAATAGCATTTTAGAGCGTCTAGATTTAAAAATTGTCTGTGGGGAGACCCTCCAGACCCCATCTTCACACTTTCTATCTACGGCATGCAACATGAACAGCGCATGCGCAACAACTGCTCAGCTGAATAGCGCATACGAACAGGTGTCCGATGCTCGGATGAATATCCACGTCGTATTAGTAAACTACGGTACGTCCCATAATAGTCGGTGTTCGGCCCATTTCCCACGTTTCCTGATCAGCTTCAGACATATTCCATCCCATGTTCTTGATAATTAACACATTAAATTTGGTAAATCCACCTTCTATTTTTTATTTTTTCATTTGTTTATTTAGGCAATTATCCATTATATACAATACATCATACTTTTACAATAAAATTCTGCATTCATAAAATTGGATAACTACCAAGGATATATACACAAAAAGCAGGACTAGCGCACATATTTACATTGTGGTCCTTGTTCTAGAATGTGCAGTGTTGGCAATTACGTTTAAATATGCATAGAACTGATTTTGGGGAGTGTAGGCCTAGAGTGGCTAGAGTCACCCAGACAAAAACTTGTATCATGATGACTAGGTAACTTTTGGTTGCATAGTTACGTAATCACATGACAGGCATTGATATAGGCTAATGTTAATAACAATCTTTCATGCTCTTTTATTTGCTGTCAGTACTGGAGATATTATTTCTCTCAAACAAAAATGTTGAAAATACGACTCATTCATGGATATAATTTGTAAATACGTACAAGTACAGTCATTGGTACAACCAATGAAATGTAAGGCGAGAATTTTTTATTTTGTTGGTTTACAGATCCGCCGACCCGAATTTTCAAGAAAAACGAAAAGAAAAAAAAATTGAAAATCTATTTTTATTCCCGCCGACCTTTTCTCTAAGAAAGGAATAAAAAAAATTTAAATGTAAAAAACAAAAATATTTCATAAACAAATAGTTTATAATAAAAGTAAAAATAATTACAAGTTGAGTTTTGTTTTCATTTAGTTTTCTTTAAATACTTTAATATCATGTATATAAAGCCCTGTCTACACGTAACACTAGCAAACTTTAGTTTGCAAACTCGAGCAA